CAACATTTTTTGACCAATCCTCCAACAAGCACCAGGTTTTTATTGGATACCTTTCGTGCGTTGTTCCCCCAACGTGGCTTCATCCAGCTGTGTTGGACTACAGTGGCCCAAAAGCAGTAGTTTAGGGATGAAGGGCTGTAGTACAAGAGATTTGGAGGACAACTTTGGGAAAAATGCCTTAGTATTTCAAAAAGAGAAAATGACAAGAACTGAATTGCTATACTTGCTTTACAGAGGTGACTCTATACCAGTTCAGGAGCCAATGGATTGATTCTTGGGAATTGTTTTCCTCACTCCCAAGAAATATTTTTGTCATGCTGCAGTAGCTTTCATAATTCAAGAAGATACATTCCTGTGTTCTAAAGCTACTAGACCTGCCACATGTCTGGCTCGCTTTTGCTACATTAGCCCTGTGAAGATCTGAGATCTCCACCTGAAACAAGCTATGAAGGAATAAGGTAGCCGCAACAGCACTGGTCTCTGGTCACAGCCATGGCCCAGCAGATTCCAAAAAGAGAAGTGAAGACCTCTTTTTTTTAATGAATCACAGGCGGATAGTTTGTCATCTAATTTGCAAGAATGTCTTTGCACAATGACTGGAGGCATTGTGAAAGGGTCACTCTGGGAGGTACCATCACACTGATCATTGACCTGCTAATTTCTCACCATCTTGCAAGAATGCACCGTTGAGATCATCCACATTTCCCATGGAGGAAAACTGGCAGCTCTTTTTGGGCTGTCTTACTGGGCAGCATGGTCATCAGTGTTGATTTTCTTGAGGAACTTCAAAGCAACTCTGCATTCTCAGGTGAGTTGCCTTTTTCCAGGAAGGGCAGAGGACCCTGGTTTTTCCACCTTGGATTGGAGATTGTTCCAACAGCCAGTTTTCAATCTCCAGAATTCCCCGTTCCTTTAGTCTTTCCCCCCATGCAGCTCAATTAAGAAAACTGGAATAACTTCAGGGCCAGCCCTAGGGTAAAATTTCCAACAAGGTCAGATTCCTTCTTCAGCTGAACATAGTTTGGGTGAGACTTCTCCCATGACAATCGCCAAGTCTTAATGTCATGGATAGAAGAAAAAGGACATGAAATTGTACATAATCAAGATTCTTTCAATACCTTCTACTGTATGGTTCAATCTGACAAGCCAATGGACTAAGTCTAAATCTTTCCAGGACTCCTAGATTATCCAACCAAGGTGTTCATGGATTGCATCCATATCTCAAATCCAAATCTGTCCATTTGTAAGAATTGGAATCACTACATCTGGAAGGAGGAGGGAGAAGTTCCTGTCTTCATGCATTCATGTTTCCAAGTGGCTACCACTGGCCCTAAGAGTTATTCCAGACCCAGAATATAATCAGGCAGCTACACGAAGGTAAATCTCCAGCACAGCTTTATACTTTTGTCTGAAAGTAGAACCTGAGGAAACCAATCTTTCTGATTTGAGATTTGGGAGTATGAAAAATCAGAGAGAAACACAAAAACTCCCAAAATAAACTGAAGCGAGGTTGAGGTACAAAGTGTCATGATGGTGGCCCACTAGATTACTATCTTGGCCTGAAATGATTAATCGCATTCCATATTAGACCAAACCTTCAACCATCAGGTACTGTTGTCCATTAGGTTTACTCTCCACGACTCAAGGAACATAGAACCCTTTTAGAATCATTTCATAGTTGGTTGCTTTGGGAACCTGGACAAATTCTCCTGCCCTACATTTTAAACATCCTAAGAAATCCATAGCATGTTGAAGTGTTTTGACTTCTTTTAATTAATCCAGCTAGTCTCTTAGTGTCATCAGAGGTCAACATAATGTGGCTGGGATGGTTGGGGCAAGGATGCAGAAGAGAAAAGAAGCAGAAAGTTTTAGAAGAAAGGAAGAATTCAGAAAGTGTTAAGTAGGAAGTGGGGTCCCTGGATTCTTTGTCTTCTGTCCCAATGTGGCCCATGTTGAATCCAAGTGCATTTGTTTTGAATCTTGCTCGAAAGCTGCACTGGAGACATACCATTATTTTTTTTCAGGAGAGCAAACGTATCTCCACCCTAGAAGGGCATCATAACAAGTGGGAAGGAAGGACATCCCCATGCACTTCTCCATTGCACATGATTTTTACAGCATGCCCTCTCGGATATTAAAAAAAAGGGAAGGGTTTGAATCAATGGGACAACATAATGCAAATAGAGTATGAACATCAAGTCAAGTCCCCAAACATCTCCTGGACAGCAGATCCAAAGCCTCGGTACCTCTGTTTCCAGCCGGTGGGAATCCGAAAGAAATTTCTTTTACTACTAAAGATCTGGCTAGAGAGAGGAGAAGGAAAACAAAAACAAAAACAAAAAAACCAAGAACAAAAAGAAGAGGGGGGGAAGAGAAGACAAGAAGGAAAAAGAAAGGAAGAGAGGGGAAAAGGTTAGTAAGGGGAAGGACAGAGGGGAAAGCCATGCTGAGGCCAACAGGACTTGATGAATGTTGTGAGAGCACCATCCACAGAACACCTCACTCAGGACATCCCAAAATTCACTATGATTCCCAATCCCATCATTGATATGGACAATTCACTTGGCCTCCATGAAACAAGCCAGCATCACCAGAGCTTGCTGGAGGAAAGCTTGGTTTTAAAAATGATCAGCGTAGTTCGATCTGGAAATGGGCATATTGGCCAAGAAGATCACATTACTCATGTTCTTCTTGTCTATTGATAGCTCTTCCCAATATCTCCATTAAAGGGTCCTCCTCTTGACTTGTGAGGAAACCCAAAATAGAATAGCGTTTTCTGTTCTGTCAATCCCAATTGCTTCTTACAATCAGTTTACAACCAGTCCTCTGCTCTGAGACCTGGCTGCTTTTTAATATGAGTTTAACAGGTCTTCTGCACAGGCAATGAGCAAATAGGATGTCTCTCTGTTGCTTTCCTGGGTAACCATTCCCTAGACCTGTCATCGTTTCTTTATGCTTCTTTTGAACATAAGTTCATTGCTCTTCTGGAAGAGTGCTCAGTAGCCTTAGGACCACTGTTGATAGGTGCTGGGAAAACTATGCTAGGGAGCAACAGAGAAGCGCCTCTCATTTCTACTTTCTTGTGTGACTTCCACATCACCACTGATGGGGAGATGCTATTCAAGTTGATCTAAGCTTCTGAGTCAGGTATAAGAGGTGATTCTACTTTGAAAGCCTGTTGTCCAAATCAAAATAGACCTGGAAGACTCTTCCCATGGAGTGAAGAGTCAACCTAAAGTGTCCATCTGACTGCACCAACAGAATGCTTGGTGAAATATGCAGTGGTGGGATTCAAATAATTTAACAACTGGTTCTCTGCCCTAATGACTGGCTGGGTGGATGTGGCCATGATGGGTGTGGCCAGGGGGTGTGACAGGCAGCACTTGGCCTCCTGCAACCCACTGGGAGCAAAAATAGGCCGCGGGGGGCATGCGCCCTCCCCGTGCCCCGTTTTGGGTCTAGTAGGCCTCCCTGCAGCCTCCTGGGAGCAAAAACAAGCCATGGGGGAAGGGGAGGGGCAGAGAGGGGAGGGGCCAACCAGCAATTCAACAACCGGTTCCGCTGAAGTGGTGCGAACCGGTTGAATCCCACCACTGGAAATATATCAGCTTGTGTTCATAACAAAGCTTGTAAAGGTATTATGGGGGAAATATTTTTTTTACACTGGAACAGCCAAAGATGATTTAACACTAATGTCCTGGGTTAGGGACATGATGAAGACATGTGGACATGTCTATGGAGATTCTCAATCATTCAGTTCATTATTGTCCCAAAGGTGCTTTTTCTAAAAGCAACTGGACTTGATTTTTTTTCAGTTCAGTTCCAAAATTGTTAGATTATACTAATTATATTGTTTCTTGCAAATATAATTATAAATCATGTTTAAACCTTATGGGGGCTTAAGACAACCTTTCCCCCTTAAAAACCCTATTCCTTCAAGAAAAAAACAATCTCATGGAGACTTTTTTTTTCCTACTTGGAGAAGTGAAGAGAGAAAACACTACCCTTCCTCACATCCCTGATTCAGATGTTTGGTCTTTCCACTTCCGGTGACACCACAATGTGAATTAGAAATATCACTTGAGGACCTAAGGAATTATTGTAAAATGTGGGCCCTGGTTTCCTGATTTGACCTCCCTTGTCTCTAAGCATTGATGCAGCAAACAATTCCCTTAGTCCCCTTGAGTTATTTCCATTTTCAGTGCTGCTTCTCCTTTCACCCTCCCCAACACGTTATTGCCCCCTACCTCAGCAGGAGATTCAGACCACCAGCACCTCTTGTAGGAAAACCTACCGTCCTGCTGCCTCCCTCTCTCTGAGGAGGGAATAAAAGCAGACGCCGCCATTTTAAAGGGAAGGGTTACCTTAGGCGCAAACACTTGGGTGACGGAGCTTCTTCTTCTATCCAGCTTCCGGAAATGAATAGGGAATGGAGAAGTGATGAGAAGATGGTCAGAGAAATAGGAATCAAGGGAGGCAGAGAGGAGGAGGAGAGAGAGAAAAGATGATGAAATGAGGTGGACTGCAAAGGAGACTTGGAAGAAGGTGGAAACAGTCCAGACCCAGCCATACTGACTCTCTTTCTGGAAAGAAACTGGTGCTGAAAATGTTTTGCCACAAGTCCTGCTAGAAAATGAGATTCTGGGTTAGCCATGATGTTGTGTGTGTTGGGTTCATCTTTTTGGTGGCACCACCTAGATTTCTCCCTTGAAAATGTAACTATGAAAATGATCCCAGGGTGGGGGTGTAACGATGGCCTCCAGCCAGAAGAAAGAGATAAAGAATTGTGCATGGTTCTGCCTTTCTTTCAAGGGTCAAGGAGGAACCCAACGGAAGCCAACTCAACTCGTACCACATGTAGAAACAAACAAAGGAGTAAAACCAGGAGGGAGCAGCAGCACAAGACAGAGTCCACACACCAGAGAGAAAGAGAGAGAGAGAGAAGGGCATGAGACACACCAGGGGCACGAAAACGTGCAAGGAGGTGGCATCAACCCTACCTTTCTCCTGTGCAAAAAGTAGGAGTGGAGGCTTTCAGGCCAGAGGTGAAGGAGTGATACGACGGTGGAGCTCCATCAGGAAATTTCCTCACCTGAGAGATCCTAAGCCCTCCGTTGCGAGCTCGGTGCAAGTTTTCAAACATAGGGACCAGTTCTCTAGGGTTGGGTTCAAATAAAAACATGGAGAAATTAAAAGCTTTCAAATGGGAGAGAAAGGCGGGAAAACAAGCAAGCAAGCAAAAAAAGTAGAATGTCAAGGAAAGTCTTAAAATGGAAGGGGATTAAGAGAGAGAGAGAGAAACAGAGAGAGAGAAACAGAGAGAAAGAGACAGAGAGAAAGAGACAGAGAGAGAGAGGCAGAGAGAAAGGCAGGAAGGAGAAGCAATGAAAAACCTAGCAGAAATTTAACAAAATTAAAACAAACATATTTGTGGACCACTGCCCATAAATTCTTCAGGAAAAACTTGTTTTTTTTCCCATAGGAGAAAATAATAGGAATCACCTAATGGTTTTGTTTTCTTGATTGACTTATCTGGATAGACTACATTGATTGGCATTGCTTCTAGAATTACGGTACACGTCTAATGGGTTACACTGGCCTCTGTTCACATGTTTAATTTAACTCCAAATCTAATTTAGAAATTAATCCATTTCTTAGTTTGTGGAATATGTGGAACTATAAATCAGCCAAATGGCTTACATGCATAAAATACACTAAGCCACAAAAAGTGAACGATCAAACTGTCTAAACTTAGCAAACAAAGCCAAATTTGTAAGTAATTTGGTTAAGTGTGTTGTAGAAACACTAATTTATGAGCACGAGTTCCAATTTTGGGAGGACAGGTGAACAAGTTGTCATGAATTACCATAATTTTGTTCCGAGTGTAATCCAAGCTGCAACCCAGACATTCTTCAGATCTGTAGAACATTTGATTCAGAACTATCTAAGGCAACAGTACCAATCAATGAATCTTACCATTAATTGAAATATTCAGTCTTCAATGCTAAACAATGCCCCATTTCATACTGTTGGATTGTTCGTCATTGATAGTGTTCAGTAATAAACATTATTGAATTCAGGATGGCTATGAAACTTATTCTATATATGTCTCCCAAGGGCAGGTAAGCATACAATAAATATACATGGCAACTGAAATTAGTTCAAAAGGTTTGCAAAAGGAAGAAGCAAGACAAAAGGGATGAAAAGCTAATGCTGGCCAGACTTCCATATTGGACTTTGGCTTGGAAAATAATTTGATATGGAACTAATCCCACAGAAGAACTGTCAATTCTTCCTCATTGGATGTCTTCAAGTAAAAGATGGAGTGCTGGACTGTTCCACCAACTCTAGATTGTGGGCTCCTTGGTACTCTCCAAACTTGGTTGCTTTCTTGCAGATGTTTCATTACCCAACTAGGTAACATCATCAGTGCTAGAAGGGAGTGGGGTTTGCTCTCACTTTATATACAAGTGGCTTGCCCTGTCAGTGTTGGTGGAAATATTCTCGGCGGTTCCTTGACTAGCCTGTTGTTCCTTGTTTGACTATTCGTTTGAGCTGGTATTTTCTTGATTGGGATATTGTTTACTTTTCCATTGTTGGTCTAGTGTTAATTTTGGTGTTAATATCTGCTTATCTGTGTGTTAATTGCTGGCAAGGTTTTTTTTTTTGTTGTTGTTGTTCTTTTGTTTCCTTTTTAGCTTTTTTATTGCCTTTTTGGAGTGGTTTATCTCAATGTGCCTGTTGATGGCTGATCTGTCTATGTGCCAGGTTTCCAGAAATTCTCTAGCATTTTTGGACTTAGCTTGGTTTTGGATGCTCAGTTTCCCAGTTGAAATTATGGTGATGTCTATCCATGTGTTGTGCAATTAAGGAGTCTTCATCATATCTTTTGACTGCTAGTTGGTGTTTCTGGATGCATTCTGTTAGTCTTCTGCCTATTTGTCCTGTATGTCAGAGATCACCAAGGACCCTACAGATCAGTCTTGAGCTACAAACATTCTCTTCTGTTGATACAAATCTAGATTCACTATACTCAATAGCAACAATAAGATCTCCTCCATATCTGACTCTAGGGCCAAGCAGAATCTGAATTTAGGAGTCAGAGTCAAAGAGTACTGGATAGCCAATATGGCTTGAATATAAGGGCATAGCCCAAAAATGATCTAAGAATTACAACTGGCGGAGAGTGCTTTGCTTATAAAGTATGTGCTATTGGTGCTAAGTTATATTGACTTTCACATCATTACTGTTAAACTCTAAAATTATTTGCATCAATGGGTCAAGTATAAATAATTTGAAGCAAATACTAGGAGGGTTTTCCTTTTTCATAATGATGTTTCTCTACAGAGGACACAAAGAACTTCCAACTCATAAGATCTTCCATTTGGACCAGTGTAAATTGGGGTGGAGACCATAGTGCATCATTAAAAAAACACTACTCCAGATCAGTGGTTTGTCCATGAAGGAAGAAAATAGGTCTCCATACCATGGCCAGGTGCTCTGGACTATCCTATATATATGGGGGGAGGGGGAGAAAGAAAGATGGGGTGCAATTTCATGACCAGACCACTGAATAGGGGAAGATGTCTTCTCCCTGATGTTTGGCCAACGTTAATCTTTGGAAGCTTCCACTTAAGCAATACTATCCATCATAAAGGGGGCAGGTTTTGCATAATCTATTCTTTCTCCTTAGTGCAGAAACAGTAGCCTTCCTGGAAAAAAAAAAATTAAATTTTCTTATGAATTTGGTCAAACCCACCAAAATTTGCATTCAGCGCTGAATGAGTCTGCAATTCAAAAAGCTTCACGATGCAGCTTCCAAGCCAGTGTCATGTACATTCAGACAAAAGTCCTTGAGATAAAGATGCTTGGTATTGTATTTTTTTTTTAATGTCTTCCCCCCTAAAAAATGTCAGATATTTTGAAACAGGGAAAAAAGTGAAATGACAGCCTAGGCCTCCTGATTCTTCTTTTAATCCATCTTTCCACATAAGGGGAAAGTGTAGCCGGTGATAATAAATCTACTGCAAATCTTCTCTTCCCTTATTACACTGGTTAATGCAATTTGTGATTTGCCAAGCCACACGCGGTAGTCGTGTGGCATGGAAGTGTACGGAAGTAAATCAAGGGTGTCATCTTCTTGGTCTCCTTGTTTATTCAAAAGATCCATGGGAAGGACCCTGTGCCAAAAGTAGCCAATCATGAGCTGTAGAAACCTATCATTTTTGGTCCTTGTTACCACATTTCTTCTCACTTACTTTCCCCACTTCTATCTTCCTTCCTATCACCTTCTCCTGTTCTTGGAGGAGGATCTAATGTCAAGATGTCTATCATGCCTGCATGATTCAAGTTCCACCCCTTTTTACATGCAGATGCCATCTTGCCATTTTTATTTCTCCCCAGGTGGACACTCAGACCCTCCAAATACAAGTTTCCCCTTATTCTATAAGGGACACAACCATGAGTTTAAGTAATTGTGGTTTCCAGTTCTAGTAGGAATGAACTGGTGAAGTGGAGTTGAAGTCCCACCTTTGGGGAAGGACATGATGTGGTGTTCTTTTGGTGAGATCAGCCTCTTGCACATAGTGTTCTCAAAGTCAATTAGTGCTATCTGTCTTGGAGGTGCTGAGCCAACTCCCCACTTAAACACAACTCCTAAAACAGGGATGGCCATGGGCATCACAATCTGCAAGATAGTAAGGATGGTGTCGCTAATGAAGCCCCACCCCTTTTAAATATATGCACGCATTATGTTCCATTGTGATGCTACATCTGTCACTTTACAGATGTTAGCACTCCCCATAGATGCCTCTCGATGCTTCTCAGTGAAATTCCTGAGTATGCCCACTCAGTCCCTCTGCTAGTTGCTTTTGGATGTACAAGCCACAGCTTTCCCCCTCAAATAATCATTTTTAATTGTTGTTTTGTGCTGCTTCTGCCTGTTTGGTCTTTAGTTTTGTTTTGATTTTTGAAGGTAGTCACTTGATTCCACAGAATTTGTCTCCTTTGTATTTTCATCTTGTTCTATGTTGAAGACAACTGCAAACCTTCTTGTGTACTAAACATTAGAAAAGTGGGAGATGCATTTAGAAAAATAAGACACAGAGGTTCTTGTGGGCTGCCACAGGCCTCTGCTTGAGACTATGAAAACGTGGTCAAATAAGTCTTGCAAGAGGGTGGTTTTTTGATTGAATAAATTATGCTTAACAATAATATTCTACCCTGCATGTATATGCACGTGTGACCCCATGCATGTCTACATGTATGCAAAGGTCCAGAATCACGCTCCCATTAATAGCCCAGCTCCTACCCTCATACCTCTCCATTAGTCTCCATTGCAGCTTCCACCACCTAGAAGATCCTGGAGCCCAGTTTGAGTGGAGGAAACATCACATGTTATGAAAGATGTGGATGGAATTATGATGCCTTATGAAGAGGGCACAGAATCTGAACATTCAAAACCCAGCAAACATGTTCAAAGGAAGGGATTTTCGAAGCCTCAGCCTCACTGGTTAATCCTTTCCCCGTGGCCAGTTCCTTCTTCTGCAATGATGCATAATTAATCTACCACCTTCTCCTGATGGATGGGATTTAAACGTTGGGATTGGATAAGAACTGATTTATCGAAGGAGCTCTGTGTAAGGCAATGGCCACTTGCAAGGGAGTTGAAGGCCAGATGAAAGGCACTTCACTATCTGTCAAAGCAGGAAACAACATCTCCCCACCATCAAAAGATAGTTAGAAAGAAGATCAATGGGATCAAAGAAGCTAAAGGACACATGCATCCAATTTCTAGATTCTGTAACCTAATCCTGCTTTCCTTTCCAAAAATTTAATGAATTAGACTCCAAGAGAATCTAGCATTCTTGACTGTGGGCAGCTGCTAAAGTGGCCTGACACTCACCTTGAACCAACGCAAGAATATCAGGCACCAAATATCCACCATCTACCACGGATAGATGCCAGGAGAACAAGGCCACCATACAATCCCCATTAATTTCTCTGCTCTGTTCTCCATAAAGTGACTCACGAATTTCCCTGGAAATGTGGCAGCAACCAGAGTAGGAAAAAGAGGCATATTTAGCCCTACCAATTACTCTCACAAGTTTGGCTCTCTCTGATCTATTTTCCCTACTTCGGTCCATCTCTTTGCAATTACCATCAACTTGCTCTTTCTGTTTTGTTGGTTATGATTTCCAAGGAACACCTGCCCCCAAGCTCTAACTGCCATCCCTTGAACCCCCAATGTAACTTCACACATACCTAAAAGATGGAAGCATGCTGTCATAGTAACACCAGGTAGCAGTCAGGTAGGATCGGTTGATGTCTGTGGAGTAGAGGCGCCAAGCAGCCTAAATCAAGGAGGAAGAACAGGAGAAGAGAGAGAGGTCAGAGCTAGACCAATTTAAGAGGGCTTCCTCTAATGTCTCCACCCAGCCTTAATGAAGCAGGTAAATAGAGTGGACCCCAATCCCACCCCTTGCATTCCTGGTTTGATGCATTTCCTTGGCGAAAGATCCCCAAGGGAAGGCTCAGATGCTCCAAGGAACAAGGTCATATGCATAGCACAGCCAGAGACAATTGGAAAGTCACAACTTGAATGAAGAGATTAAAAATAATTTAATTAAAAGATTTAAGCTTCAAATAAAAGCATAATGGCCTTATCTTGCTAAACTCTAACCCCGGCTATAAAACACAGGCAGTATTTCTCCCAGTGAGCTGCTTTTTCTCATCATCAGTCACCATCATCATAAAGGGAGTCTTACCAAGAAGTCAAATAAGTAAAGATGACAAAAATACAACTCATAACTATGACAAATTTCAAAAGATGCAATAGCTTAAAGCAATGGCAGGATCCAGCTTCATGGCCCTTAATAAATACTTTAAACAATCAGCATGAAATATTGCTATTGTTCTCTTTGCTGGTTTTTCTGTCAGTATAGAGAAGCTAGGAGCAGGAGGAGAACTGGAGGAAATAGTGAACTGGTACCAAAAGAAACAGAAATGGGGTAGTGATGCTGCTCATCATCATGACCATCTTCACAAACCAGAATCCTGGTGCCTGGTGCTTTTTTTCTCCCCTTCTTCTAATCAGCATCCTGCTTATGATGAATTAACCAGGTTGACCTTCCTCCTAATCTCATCACTGTAAAACTGAGGCTATGACTTTGGTTAGAAGTGGCTCATGAAATCATAGTTAAGGGAAAACGTGGCATCCATTGTCTAGGTTGGCTGTCAGTATGTACGTGAAACCAAGTTAAATAGTAGGAAGGGAAAGGGAATAAATATTACTCTGACAAGTCCTGTAGTGGAGGGTAGAAATATTCACCAGATTGGATATTTCTAAATCAGAAATCCACAGACTATGGTACAGTGTCCACACAGGTCAAAAATGGAGACAACTTTTTTTCTCTTGAGTTTGACAACATCTGCATGACCTTGTCAATGACTGTGTTTTCTGAATTGGACTCAAACAAAAAGCCCCCTTTTAAATAGGTTTTGTCACAGAGATGGGTAAAGTTGGTGCATCTCCTGAAGCTTTGCCCTACAACCCCCATCTTTCTAACCAAGAAGACCAGAAAAGCCTCCTTCATTTCTTTCAACATCTCAATACTAGGCTGTCTTCATTTCACACCTCTTGGAGGACATAGGCCAAGACCAAAGCCATGGAGATGATTGGACCTGGGCAGGGGTGGGTTCTACTTACCTTTACTGCCAGTTCATAATGAAATCATGTGCGCCTTGCTTCTGCGTATGCGCAGATCACTGATGATGACATCTGGGGCAGTGGATGGGGCCTCCTTCTGGTTTTACTATCGGTTCTTGCGAACCAGTTTGAACCAAGGGCAACCCACCACTGGACTTGGGGTGTTCCACATATAGGATTATTACTAAGAATGTGTGGAGACCAGGGGTGGAATCCAGCAGGTTCTGAAAGGTTCTGGAGAACCAGTAGTGGAAATTTTGAGTAGTTCAGAAAACCAGCAAATACCACCTCTGGCTGGCCCCAGAGTGAGGTGGGAATGGAGATTTTGCAGTAACCTTCCCCTGCCATGCCCACCAAGCCACGCCCACCAAGCCACACAATGCCCACCAAGCCATGCCCACAGAACCAGTAGTAAAATAATTTGGATTTCACCACTGGTGGAGACCTTCTCTCTCTCTCCCCCCCTCTCTCAAGAACTCTCAAATTGCAGCCACTCTAAATCTGGAGCTGCTTCTGCTGAGCTTTTTCTGGCTGATTGAGGGAAGGTGGGCGGGGGGGACTCCATTAGAGATTAATTATCAAGGAAAAAGAACAGGCAGACATATCCTGACCTTCTGGAAAAGAGGGGCTGTGTGAATTGGCTGTTGGTATCAGATGGGAAGAGAACAGCATCCTCACTCAGGAAAGAGGAGGGCAGAGCTGTGTCCCTAAGATAGTCTTGTGTGCCAAAACAACTGCGTGCATCCCTTTTGTCTTGCCCACCATCCATTTCCAGCTGTTGTTGGAGGCCTGTCAGCCCAGGAGTTGAATGGCAGGGCAAGGCTGCCAGAAGGAGACCTTTTGTTGCATGGATCCTCTGGACCACAGAGATAATGTGGTGTCAGAAGTTCCATCTTTCTGACCACAATAGCAAAGGAACCAATCCAGACAGGAGAATGATAGGGCAGAATATTGCCGGATCAGAAGTCATTCTTCAACATAGAGTGCAAAGCCAGAGAAGCCAGAAAAAGGATATTTGGATTTGAGCTTGCGGCTGGGGAAGGAAATGGGACTGGAAAGGAGGTCATGAATTAGGAACTGCACAGGAACTGTACAAAGCATAACTCAAAAGATGGAAAAATAAGGAAATACTCATAATGAAACAATGGATTGTGAAGGTGGCAGAGCTAACAGACAATACCCCTCAACACTGTCAAACTATTTACTAAGTCTGCACTACTATTAATCTTCTCATCGTTCCCACCACCCATCTCCTTCCACTTATGACTGTATGACTGTAACTTTGTTGCTTGTATCCTTACGATTTATATTGATATTGTTTCCTGATTGCTTATTTGTACCCTATGACTATCATTAAGTGTTGTACCTTCTGATTCTTGATGAACGTATCTTTTCTTTTATGCACACTGAGAGCGTATGCACCAAGACAAATTCCTTGTGTGTCCAATCACACTTGGCCAATAAAAAATTCTATTCTGTTCTGTTCTGTTCTGTTCTGTTCTGTTCTATTCTATTCTATTCTATTCTATTCTATTCTATTCTATTCTTTATCCTAATTCTAATTCTAATTCTATTCTATTCTATTCTATTCTATTCTTTATCCTAATTCTAATTCTAATTCTAATTCTCTTCTGTTCTCTTCTCTTCTATTCTTTATCCTAATTCTAATTCTATTCTATTCTATTTTATCCTAATTCTAATTCTAATTCTATTCTATCCTATCCTATTCTATTCTATTCTATTCTATTCTATTCTATTCTAATCTTCATTCCTATGTTATTCTATTCTATTCTATTCTATTCTATTCTATTTGACTTGTTTGACTAAGGAGTGAATAACAGTTACTTTTAGAGAAGTCTGGAAACCCTTTATGAATTTTTTTTCTGCTGAAAATGGTGAAAAAGGAATCGGTGACTTTGGGATTTATTGATGAAAATGTTGTGTTTATGGGGAGGAAAAGAGACCCATGACATGCAATTTGTGACCGTTGCAAAGAAGATTCTTTAATTATCTTTCTTTTTCTTTTGTTATCGTCCCTTGTTCTTTTGTTTTTTTATAACTTTCTTCTTTCTACTTTCTTTTTTTTTTTTTTTTAGTATTTCCACAGCTTTCTAAATCTTATGTAAAATGTTCTCTTAATAAAAATTATTTTAAAAAAAGAAAGAAGAAGAAGAAGCAAACTGCTAACTCAGGGTCTCAGCTACTTTTGGAGGAAGGCAGGGGGTCAGGAAGACTTCCAAGGAAATTTTAGAAATTTACTTGCTCAGCAGTAGAACACTAGGCTTTGCAATTATTCTTCCAAATGCTGAAGAGGTTGTCAAAAAAAAAAAAAATTACACCAGTAATTTTTTAATTTGTGATGGTCATGTGATATAACTCTTTGATGATTTTTTTTTTTTTTTTTTGCAGATTTTGCAAATGTCATCACTAAGCAAAGAATTGAACGCTCTTCAGCGTTAGGCTTATTAGACTTCTTTACAGGACCAAACCATCAGCTTAAAAATAAAAAACTTATTATCTGTTTAATTTTAGCAGCAGCCAAAACAATCATTACGCAACATTGGAAAACTCTACATAAAACGATTGAATTGTGGATTAGCAATGCCTGTTCAATTGCCACGTTAGGAAAAAAAAAATCTCAGATAAAATAATGAGACTTCAGAGACAAAAAATAGGTCTGTTGGATATGTCTGCCACCTCGAGTTATTGGTAAAATGAATAAAGGTGTGATAGAAATAAATAAATAAATTAAACACCAGAGTTTTATTGGATTTTATGGTTTACCTTAATAGCAGTAGATTATGCCTTGGTATCCTCTTTATTTATGGTACATTATATATATATATATATATATATATATATATATATATATATATATATATATATGTGTGTGTGTGTGTGTGTGTGTGTGTGTGTGTGTGTGTGTGTGGTGTGTGTAGTTAATATTTCGGGTTTCTTCCCGTAATTGTGGATATATCCCTAAAAGGGTAGAAGCGACGTTTCGGCAGAATCCCATCTGCCATCATCAGGCTTATGCCAGTAGTCATTTTGCACTAACTGACGTTGGAATTTCAAATCTGGTGCTGGTATTCAATGGCAGGATAATCAGAGAAGCAATAGAAATGGAAAAAAGACCATATTGCATGAATAAACGGGATGACACTTCACGTCTGCCTACTATTTGGAAACCTGCTCTCATAGATAGACGAATCTTGACACCATATGTGGAACATGGACCAAACACATTGCACAAAAAAAATCCCAACCAAATCATATTCAAACCAGCCACAAAGATAAAGCCCTGCCACCTAGTAGAAAAAACCGACCATACACACCGAAGCCAAGCCAATAAACACATACTGGGACTCCCAACCAATCAGAATGAAAAGGTGGAGCCATCCCATCCCAGAATACCAGCAACCAGATTTGAAATTCCAACGTCAGTTAGTGCAAAATGACTACTGGCATAAGCCTGATGATGGCAGATGGGATTCTGCCGAAAACGTCGCTTCTACCCTTTTAGGGATTATCCACAATTACACGGAAGAAACCCGAAATATTAACTATACACACATACATACCCGTGAAAACTTACATAAACATATATAGATATATATATATATATATATATATTATATTATATAT